TATTTTTTGAAAATCCACATGTTATGACGCATTAGTTAGAGTTAAACCCGTTTTGTCTGGATCTTTTCTTTTTTTTTTCTTGCGGTGTAAATATATACAATCCGTATGTTACTAACAAGATATTTAGGTAGCAGGGGCGAGAAGATTATTATGTCTTATCGCCGAGACCCTTGATAAATTCAGTAAATAAAAAGTTTAATTTAAAATTAAGCAATTCCGTTAACTGTATAAAACAAACAAACGAAAAATTGGTAAAAAAAAACAACATCTAAATAAAATATTAATAAAAAATAATAAAAAGAGTTATTAACTTAAACATATTTTTCTAAAAAGACAGGAATATTTAATTTTTATTTATTGAATTTTTTTTTAATATTAAACATCAGAACACAAAACAAAAATCTAAGGATCAAAAAATAAAAAGAATAACAACACATATTAAAGAACAAAGACATAAATAAATTTAAAAAGTTACTAAGTGCATTTAACTCAATCTTTTCTAAAACTAATATACTTTTTATTTAATTGTTAGATCAATCATAAGGCTATTTTGCAAATGCAATCGTTTTTTAGTAATAACATTGTAAGAGTTTCTGTTTTGTTGAGAGTATTTTATTCCATGCCTTTGGTCCTCTAATTGATATTTTTTGATTGACATTTTCGTCAAGGAGTACTCCTAAAAAATAAAATGATACTTCTCTTTTTATTTCGTAATTGTTAACACAAAGATTTAATTGATTTTTGTTTTGTTCATGATAGCGATAGAAAAAAGTATATTTTGTTTTAGTTAAATTTAGAGATAACTCGGACACAGGACACATAATTTTTTTTAAATTTTTGTGTGCATTAAAAAAAAAAAATTAAATGTTTAGTAAACCGGAGTTTTCTTTTTTAGCCAGATTAATTTAGTTTACCGGTAATAAAAAGTTGCAAACCGATGGTTTTCTTTATTTAACATTAAAGCAGGTTTATTTATTATATATTTTTGTTTTTTTTAACAATAAGTAACAATGGTTTTTAAAGAAAAACTTGAGACGGTTTTCTATACAGTTCACATCCGTAAAAATGAATTGAAGAATCTTACTAAAGAGAATATTTTTTTACTAATAAAAAGTCAATTTGTTGCATAAAATTTGTACCAAATATAAAACTGGCTACCTCTGTAGTAACATGATACAATCTACTAAATCTTTGCGGACTGAGATAAGAAAAATCTTTACAGACTGAATAAGAAAAAACTATTATGAAAAAAACTATTTTTTTTGGTTTTTAAATAGTTTAATATATCAATAAGTTGAAAATATAAGCATAATACAAAAGGGTAATTTTTATCATAAGCCATTCAAAAATTTATAAAACATGTTTTTTTTTTAAACCCAAAAATTTGACTTAATTGATTGCGCTGTTATTGGAAAAAAATTATTTTTTGCGAAGATACCATTTTGTTTCAATGAATTCTACAGGTTCCCTAAATTTGAACACTTTGATTCCCTAATCAGAACAGGTTATTTCTTTAAAAAAAAACACCTTAAATTCTTCAAAAAATTGATTCAAAATGATTTTTATCTTTACAGTGAAAATTTAAACAGTTCATTCAAAACTAATAATAGGATATTACCCTGGCAAATTTAAATTCTTTAAACAAAAAACTGTATAAAAACTTTTCCTTTTATGACCTTCTCTTAATTTATTGATTAATAATCACTAAATGTTTGCACATGAACTGTGGCTGTGGCGCAGTGGTTAGAGCGCTTGCTTTATAAGCAGGAGATCCAGGTTCAAAACGAGCTTTCGACATATTTTCGCGTCACGGTAAGGAAGGAGGTGTGAACTTTCTGGTTAAATGCACTTCCGTGCATTTACCCCAAGAAGACCTAACGGTCTGTGACAAGACCGTTAGGTCTTCTTGGGGCACCTAAATAACAATATAAAAAAAATTGCTACATGGCTACATCAGTATGCTTGCTGATCAGTATCTACAGTATGGCTACATCAGTATGCTTGCTGACGTAGCCATGTTTTTTTTTTTTTTTATATATTTTTAATATATTATATAAAAATAAAATAATAAAATTACAATGAAACTTTTATATTACACAAAGAATATATATATAACATACAGAGGCTCAAAGAAGATAAGGATGACTGGTGTCACCACAATCTTTTCATAGAGCCTCTTTACAATATCATTTAAAGCCCACGTGGCTTTAGAAAATTTACTATAAAATATTTTATCTGTTAAATACTACGTGAAGAATAAAGAAAAACTCATATATACATATATATTCGTATATACATATCCCATAAAAACACGCACATATACAAACACACTTACATACATGTCAGAAAATAAGGAGATGCAGTTTCATTTGTCGTTTAAAAGAGGAAGAGTTTTTCAAATTTTTTATATTGTTATTTTTTAATTGATTCCATAATGACAGGCCTTGGCTAATAATTGAAAATTTCGACACTTGCAATTTTACTTTGCTCAAGTGATAGTTATGGTTGTTATTTATCCGAAGATTGTATTTTTGTGAAAATGCTGATGTAAAAATATCAGAAAACACTTTTGGCAGCAAGTTATTCTTATATTTATACATAAATATTAATATTTGAAGCGAATTAAGTTTTGATATATTTAAAACATTTATGTACTTCATTACAGGGGAAGGTTTTAGTTAACTGTTTTACATGCATGGTTTTGTAATCTTGATAACTTAGTTTTGTGTGTGTTAGCCCAAACAATATTAGCGTAGGAGAGATGACAATGAACAAGACTGAAGTAAAGTATTTTGCGTGATTTATAATCAAGAAAGGCCCTAGATTTATATAATACACTTA